CCCAAGTTATTAAACATCACATGTGATTGATATCTCAGGTGTCCATGTCACATATTCACAAACTTGTGACATACCAGGAAAATAAAACTCTGAAACTGGCACCAAAACTTACAATGGCTCACGTGCATCCTGGGAATTTTGAGAAAATGAAAGTGTCTCTAGCTGCGCAGGTATTTGTTTTTCTGTGCTCATGCATACCATGTATAATAACTGCAATAACGGCACACTGGGTTTCTTCAGAAAACCTCAATTGAGTTTAACATGGTGTGATATGTTTTGTCCAAAACATTCACTCATGTTCTTTTCATATTTTTATTTACAGGTCTTTTCACACAGCACAGCTTCTGCTCTGAGTGTTCTGGTAGAGCTCGGTTTTCTGCCTCGAGAGGCACAGACAACAGCCTGGTTTTGCAAGTATATTGATGAGTTGTTCGATATACTTAATGGCCGGCATTATCATGCAGGACTTTTCAGAGGTACACATTTTGTAAAAACTCCAGAATGTTCTTGTTGAAAAATGTTAGTTATTTTTCATGTGTCTAATTACATGTGTTTTCTTCTTTTGATGCAATCTTTAAATGTGCATCATTCGCTTATTTGTGTGTGTCTATATACTTAAAACATAAATAGCCTTTACTGTAAGGATAACTTAGTCTGTCAATGTTCTTATCCATTTAATATTTATTTTTATAAGAAAGTATATCTTTTATTTCAGACAGCCGTACCAACTGATGGTGATGAAGCACTATTTTATGTGAAAAAATATTTTTGGTGTATAATAAATATAGACTACTGCACATGGAATTCCAGCTCTACACTTTTTTCATCTTCAATAAGTGTTCAGCGATTAGAACGTGTGTTTTCATTTTACAGGTTCAGACAACCACATCAAAAGGTTGAAATGTGCACTGGACATAATCCATCAACTAGAGTTTGGTAAGCCTGCTTGGAAACCCGTGCAGAGTGGCCTGCGATTGTCGATCAAATCCATACTTGGATTATACAACGACAACGTAAAGGAAGGCTCTTTTCAGTACCTGCTTACTGGACGGTATGTGTAATGAACTTTTTATTCATAGTGTAATCTTTACAATGTGAATTGTTTTTTAAAGGATATATTAATGGTTTCAAACTGAAGGAAATTGTACAGAGTTCTCCATGTCACAGGAAACAAATTTTTTGGGGGAATTGTACTATGTTTGTACCCTAACCCTAACCCTAAACATGTGTGACAATAACTATGTTTTACAATGTGCTTTTATGCATAGGTTTACTCAAGACGCAGTAGAGAACTTATTTTCTCAAATACGAGCACATGGACGGCCATGCCCGACAGCAGTTTTCTTTCGCAGAACACTGCGCCTGATTGTTCTGGCAGAACTGCTGCACATGGACAACAACAGCTCATATGAGGAAGATGACAGTGAGCAGTTACTCACATTTATAAAAAATGCTCGATCGCGTCCCGTTGATGACAATACCTTTGATGAGCTAACAGCACTTTGCAGCTCTGATGAAGATGCTGGCTTGCCTGATGATTTGATGGCATTGGCAGAGGCAGCTTCTGCAACAGCAATGGATGTAGGGGAAACATCAGCACTATACTACATTGCTGGTTGGTTGATTCATAAAGAGGAGAAATCTGTTTGCTGTGATGCTTGCTGTGCTGCAATCTTGAATAACAACCCGGATGCAAGGTCACAGGATGCTTGTTTGACAGTGATCCGAACATATGGACAACTGAAGCACCCATCAGATGCTGTCATTTCTTTAGTTAAAAAATGTGAAGTGCTCATTCGACTGGAACTTCCAAATCTTGTACTGTCACCGAATGTTGCAGATAAGATTGCTTGTGTAATGGAAACACACTGCATCAACTTGCTACCACTGTGCTGCAGTATAGGCTACCGAATAGTCAGGCGCTACATCACTCTGAGGCTACATGTGTATGGAAGGCAGCAAACAAAATCTATTAAAACTTCTGGATTTGCTAGCAAGTCAGCTGCTCGGGGGTGCCCTAAATGAGCAGCGATGTGGGTACACCTAAGTGTCATTTTTCCAGCTACAGTACTATATAGTTGTGTTTTTGCACCTTGTCTAAAACTTTAACAAATCATTTTGCTCTGATTAATAATAATTTTATAGTAAATAAGACACCGCAGCCTAGTGAGTTGCTTTCTTATATTTAAGATTGTGTTAGCTGTTGTATTGTATTGATTGATTGATTGATTGTATTGTGTTGTATTGATTGAACAGTAGCATTTAATACTTATTTTTTGATGAAAACTTTGGTGATGAAACCAAGGAAACTGACTAAAAATCAGGAAAAATTCAGAGGAGATAAAAATTGAAAAGCTGTGGGAACTCTGATTGTAACAGATTTCTGCATAGGTACAGGTGTATAAAAATCAGGTTAATCGTATATGATGGCTTGTTGCAAAATAGCATGTACAACAGTTCGTAACATATTGTTTATAGTTGTCTCTTCTGAATTAAAAATGTTGTTAATGGAAATACTCAAGCATCACTCCGCTGAATATCAGCGCAATGTTTATTTTGCTCTGATTTAATAAGAATTTTATAGTAAATAAGACACCGCAGCCTAGTGAGTTGCTTTCTTATATTTAAGATTGTGTTAGCTGTTGTATTGTATTGTATTGATTGATTGATTGTATTGTGTTGTATTGATTGAACAGTAGCATTTAATACTTATTTTTTGATGAAAACTTTGGTGATGAAACCAAGGAAACTGACTAAAAATCAGGGAAAATTCAGAGGAGATAAAAATTGAAAAGCTGTGGGAACTCTGATTGTAACAGATTTCTGCATAGGTACAGGTTGTACTAAAAATCAGGTTAATCGTATATGATGGCTTGTTGCAAAATATTGTTTATAAAATACACATAATAAAAGTGACGGAGGCAGTCTATGGTGAGTATTAGCACTTCTCTCAGTTTTGACCTTAAATTCGTGCTAATGTTAGCTTCTACATTGATTAAAATAAATAAATACAAAACGGAATATTGTTTTGTGCGTTTTCTTTTAATTTTTTCAGGTTTTTCTATATTCGAATGACTAGAAAACCGAGGTAATCGCTAGCGAGTCGCGAATTTCCTATTGCCGCGCGTGTTGTAAACGAGCCATGTCCGACGAAACATGGCGCCATGGCACGTGATAGTACATGACCAATCCGTTTCACTTCTCTGTATATTATGTTCTCAGACCTACAGTACAGGCTACTGCCAGTACTGGTTTGTTTACATACAGTTACCTGGGGGTTAGTTGTGTGTATCCAACACGCTTGCACTATAAATGTCCATATTATTTGTACCATAGATATTAGGAGTGGATAAAAATTACTACCTATATAAATTATTAACATAGAGATCTAATGATGATTAATAATAACAAAATTATACTCTCCAGGCTTCCCGCGTCATGTAAGCTAGAACAGCTGACCAGCATGAATAAAACCGGCCGCAAGCTAAAAACATCAACCGCTCAGAGTCTCAGGCAGAGCCCACAGTCACGCCGCACACACATATATAGACTCATAATTATATAGACACATATAATACATGAATGAATAATAATATAACCCGTAGAAACATTGTCTAACTAGTATATTATTTCTTTCATATAAGTTAACCACAGAAATCAAGAGGAGTTGATAGATATATCAACAGCAGATTGCAGTAGAAAAGTTTTAATTATACAATTAACCAGAGAAGATGGAAGAGAATTCCAATTTGGAATAACAGAAACGAAAAACGTAAACTTTATACGTAAATATTCATGTTTATTTTTTAATTTACTGCTAAATTGATAGAGAAACAGAGTGAGAGCGGGAGAAAGAGAGGAAGAGAGCGAGAGAGGGCGAAGGGGGAGAGAGAAGGGGAGAGAGTGCAGAGAGAGAGAAGGGGAGAGAGGGAGAGAGAGAAGGGGGAGAGAGATAGAGAAAGGGGTGCAGAGAGAGAAAAGGGGAGAGAGGGAGAGAGAGAAGGGGGAGAGAGAAGAGAAAGGGGTGCAGAGAGAG